CCCGAATTCATCAATCGGTTCAACATCCTATGTTTATGCTTATCCAACTGCGTTGGATACTTGACTTCAGCAACAGTAATCGCAAATTCAATCAAACTGAAAATATCGTCTGGTTTTTTCTTTATTGAAAATTCATTCATAAACATTTTTTCTAAATCCACACGTAAAACTATTTTAACCATGATGTTTGTTCTAAGTTGTAACCCTAAAATATATTTGTGAGTAATGGTGAGACTTTAGCATCACATTTATAGGGCATATGTTTTTCCTAAACCGACCAGAATTCGGAATCCCATTTCCTCCAACCTACCGCCACACGAAAATAAAAAAGTTTCCTAGTATCTTTTTATCATTAAGGAAACTATTAACTTTTTATATTAATTTCTATTTTGTTTTCAAAACTGTTAAATAAATTGGGAAATCCTAGTTATATATGGAAAGTCAAAAAATGCTTTCTTTTATTCAAATATGTTTTAAATACTTTCATTGTTAATTATGGTAACTTATTTTACTTTTTACGTGGTTTTTAAACATGTCAGTTTTTTTAAAAAAAATATGAAGATTCTATTTCTTAATTCACATCGCAAATTGATTATTTTATCCTTCGCGCTTTGAATCGGGTCACATAAATTAAAATAAAGGAAGTAGTAATTTTTTGAAACTAAATAAAGAAATTAAGAAAATCAATTAAAACGAAATCTTAGCATGAATTTAAAAATTGTGGTTAGTACCTAGCAATAGCTACAAAAATTTGAATCCATGCCTATCTACGAATTCATAAATCTTCTTAGCTATGAAAATTAAATTAACAAAGCTAATTCCTCTTTTTTGTTATCATTGGTAACAACTGTGACAATAATTAATTAAATAGCTACAACTTTACTGCTATAATATTCCGTCCGTTCTATATTACTTGTCCATATTACTTAAAAAGAGTTGAAGAATAAATTACTAAAAATACCTATATGTAAAGGGGGAAGTGGACAAGTAATATGGAACGGATGAAGTAAAATTTTATAGGTGGATCATAAGTTTTTGTTTCTTATTGATAACCTCAAAATGGATTCTATAGTCGAAGTTGGCTCTATCTTAGTAAAATAAATAGCTCTTCATACACATATATTGTTATATTTCGAATTAGTCACAGAAAGTACAAAAAGTGTTGGTGAATAAAGACATTTTTTCTAGCCAATTATGATAAATAGTGAAAGGACAAAGTGCTAAAGAAACCACTCTGTAAATTATCAATTCACCTTAACAAATAAAGACTACTTAGATGAAGGTTCAACTTCCCGTTTGGGTCGATTGCGTGTACGAGGAGTTGCAGGTTTTTCCTCTAACGGAGTGACTGCACTGCCATCATCTTCCTCACCTTCTGCTATTGTTTCATTTACAGCAAGCTGTCAATTCAACAAGAGAAGTAGAATTAGACTCAAATCAAAATTTTATAATGTGCACGCAACGATTTCCTCAGGAAGTCTGTAAGTATGAATTACTTCAAAATAATCTCATTTCTTTCTCTTCAATTGTTAGGCATATAAAAGTTAAAAGGCCAGAAGAAGAATCCATAAGTGTGATAAGCAACCCTAAAGAAAAGGGAGGGGGTGGCAATGGGATGAATTTGAAATGTACTGCTCAAAAATACCAATTACTACAAGTGATAAGTAACAATGAGTCAATGACCAAGGTAGGGCACAAATAACTGAAAAGCAAAGTTTTCAGCAAATGATGTGATCGAAGTTTACGAGGGAACATTTTATCAGTATTTCTTTTTTTTGTAGCTTATAATGGGTGCAGGGTGCATACATGTTCGTGAGCATGCTGCAGGTCTCTGTGTGTGTGTGTTTCTTGCATGAATTCAACTCCAATTAAAGGACATGACGCCATTTCAATTTCTTAATGATTGATATGTTTCTTCTTTTCTTCCACCTCCAATTATATACTCAACTGGATCTATAAAATCGTTTAACTCTGATGTCCCATTTAAATCACATTGTTCATATATGCCAAAGATATGCATCTTTTAATTGTAAGAAACCACCAATTTCTAGGTGTCCAACATGTGTCATGTATACAACATAAATCTTTGCCGTCTTTTTACTTCATAAGAGATTAAGAAGTGTATGATAGGTCTAAACATTATATGTCTATAACTCTTATTTACCATTAAATCAGAGTATGCACTGGGGACCTTCAATGCAGTGGTTGATGTCGTGTCTAGGGAGATACAAGCATAAATGCATTAATTCTTTCAAAGAGAAACAAGTTATAAGTCAACTCATGAACACTCCCCATAACAACTCATAGACGTTAGCCCCCTTAGTACTCCTTGTGTGTCAGAAATATGAAGTGAGTGCAGCATAAAAGAATGGGACCTGGATCGATCAATTCTATGGCGAAGCATCTGGAAAGTAGATTATGTTGTTGAAAGCCTAGCTTATCCTAGTATGGCATTTAAGTATTCCCTAATAATGATCATTCCTATTAGTTTTACTCATACTGACTACTCCATGAAGGGTTTGAAAATTCAAATGTTATAGGTGCAAATTGCACAAAGCTTTGACATATGTAGTACTAGTTTTCTCATGCAGCAAATATACATGTCCAACCTAAATTGACTTAGCAGAGCCAAACTGTTATCAGTTTCCTCCTAGCAGACATTCTACAAAAAGTTAAAGACAACATCAAGTTATGCTCACTCCGCTCAATATTCATTTGCTTAGCATGATCACTTGATATAATGACATTTCTAATCATCTAGGAACATCTTACACCTATCGGTTTTCCTTGCCAAGGGAATTACTGATGCCTTGGTACTTCATGCCTCATAGAACTATGCTAAAAGGCTACAGTTCCAATTCAGGGGAAAATCCATAATGCTATGTCCATATAAATCAAGTAGCATGATCCACTCTAGAAAACAAACAGTTAGACAACGAAAAAATCACAAAACAGAAGATAGCCCATATCAGCATATGTCAAGTGTCAACCAAGAGCCCATGTCATCATACTGTCAAGTGTCAACCAAGAACTGCCTGTCTGAAAGTGGTGTTTGGCTTACATTTTGCAAGAACTGAATTTTTTAACTCTAAAACAAAACCCATCTAAGCTTTTCCAGTAGCATTTGCATTGTTATGCCAATAATAAGCCTGCCTAGCTTTAGCGGAGTTGATATAGCCTAGACTGTTAGCATCTTTTTCTGGCGATATATTCATAAGTTCCCTCCCTTGTTCTAGCTCTCACTTCTATCCACTTACCCTCCATTACCCCCACCCCTCTTCCCCACTTTACAGACCAAACTTATCTCACCAGTCGCCAGCAAAAGAAAATAAAGTATACTTTTCCTACAACCATAAAACCTCCAACCTCTCCGATGAAACTTTAACTTGATGAATGTCTTAAGCATTGGCAACTAATACAAATCTAACAGAACAAATCAACACTAAAAATTTCTTATCATAGAACAGAGAACGATAAGCAAAGTCCAAGAGAGAAATTTTCACCTAGACACTCAAATTTCATCAATCCCCTCCCTCCACCCAAGAAATCATCCAAAACCTATAAAATGTTGATGTTAGATCCTTCCAGCCACAATTTTCCTTTACTTCACTTCCAAAGACTATATTCATTAATAGGAACATTTCATAAAGTTTTACTACATCTCGTGTCGAATAAAAAATCAAGGAAACAAGAGAGAATGAGCCTAATGGAAAAAATTACTTGAGTCACCCAAGGGTGCAGCCTAGTGGTCAAATATGTGGGTCGAGCACCCTCGTTCAAAACACTAGGTGCAGGGGCGGAGCCACCCTTTTCCGGATGTCAAACAACACCCCCGTCACCCAAAAATTACGAGGTAGAATTTTGGTTTAATAAATATTTATACAAGTATGGACACCTCTTAACTACACAAGTTGAAGGTTTAGTCTAGTGGTAAAGCGATTGCCAAAAAACATTTTTGAGGTCGCAAGCTATCCCGGAAAAAGGAAAGGACAAAATTGCTTTGGGGCAAATGGGATTATGTAATTTACCTCTTCGAGAAATTTCTGGTCGAGGTTATCAGCAACACGGGCAGAAGTGAAGATGGTGATAGCAAGGAGAGAAAGTGGAAATATCAAAGCAAATATATAACTGCCCGAACTTATTCCACCTGCGCGAGTCACCACTGATAAGCCTCTGCTCTTCTTCTTCAATTTCCGGCTCTGCAATTGAAGAATACGTGAAGAAGAATCCACAAACAGCTGCTGCTGCTGCTGCTGTTGCAGTTGGTTATTGAATCGGAGGAAAGTAGAAGAGGAGAGCGAGTTGGAAAGTATCATACTCGCCACCACTGGTTGGTTGAAATTTCAGTTCGTTATCGTTTCTTTATTTCTTTTACCCCTCTAAAAAGACATTGGCGCAAATGATACATTACTCACTTCACTTGTGGTTTTAGAGAGTGTAAAAATATATTAATATTGTAATTTTTAATTTAAATAAATATATTGAGATATTTTTTAAAATTTCTGATCTTAAACTCTTAAATATGTAATGCGGAAACTTAGGGGGGGGGGGGGAGGTGGAAAGAA